TCGCTGCTGCTTGGCGTTTGCGTGGGGTTTGGAGTGACGTTGCCGTGTTGTGACTTTTTCAGATGATGAGCTGAGCCTGCTGGTCATCGTCATTGACACCAACCCTATCTGGTGGGGAAAGAAGGCGCTAGGAGAAGCTGAGGTATGTCTTCTCGGTGTTGGTACTACTGATGGTGATTTCTGAGGGAAATAACTTTTTTTTTTTTTGAAATGTTAATAAGTAGCCAATAAATGGGATTAGTCTTTGACTTCTGAACTATGCTAATGTTGTCTGCTAAAATGGATATAATGGATATTAGAATACTCTGTTAAAAATAGCTACCCAGCGTTGTGTACTTATCAAAACTTTTTTTCTAAATGCTTCCTGTTAAGAAAGGGAACTCTTTCTGTGTCTTCAAATTCAAGACCTTTTAACTGCAGTTATTTGAGAGACTTCTTTTAAATCACATAACTGTAAATATTATTGTGCCATTATCTACTTTTCCCCCCTTTTTTTCCAGCAGTTCACCCTATCAAAATGCATTGATGCAGCGATGGTACTGGGAAATTCACACTTATTTATGAATCGCACCAACAGGCTCGCTGTAATAGCAAGTCACACGCAAGAAAGGTATAGTTGCTTCTTAACAGTGTAAATGTTTAAAGTGCACTTTCCTATATCTGTCTCCTAATTTTCTTGTTGGATTGAAGTATATAAATGAAACTAGGTTTAAAACATGTAACATATCATTGTCTTAGAAATTAACTAGAACTGTGTAGGAAAGAAATAATCTGACTTAATGTCTTACATAAAACAACAAAAAGGTTTATAAGACAGAAGGGAGGTTTAAATAGAATTTTACTTAAAAAAATATACGGGGAGAGCGGGAGAGAGGATGGTAGAGATGTGGTGAGCAGGACAACACAAGTGGCAGAAGTTTTCTGTTTAGTGGATATTTTAACCCCAGATATTCATGAGTCTCAGGATCTACCCCTAAGTGCAGGCATGGTATCTATTTGTCAGTTCTCTTAAGAGATGTCTTTGAAAGGAGGGAGGTGAATGTGGGTTTTACTCCATTTTGATTTTGAAGATTGCCTGCCTTATGTAGTCTCTTTAATGTCTAAAGTATTAAAACTATTTAAAAGTATACTTCAGAGTATTGCTGTCTACAGCTAGTTAGTTTATTGCATTTTTTCTTATAAGGTTAAAGGCAAAATGTTAATACTCTGTTTTTCCTCTGTTTCAGCCGTTTCTTGTACCCTGGGAAGTGTTGGGCTGTTGCAGATCTCTTTGGAGATGGCAGTAGTTCCATGGAATCTAATTGCTCTGGCAGCAAGGATGGAAAATATGAGTTGTTAACAGCAATAAATGATGCAATTGCAGAAGAGATTAAAGACCTCATGACAAAAAGTGAGGAAAAGAAAATTCTAGGCTTAATATGCAGAATTGCAAAACACTAGGACTCTCAAGGAGCTGTAGGAATTTCCTTTATTTTGATCATGTGCATTTCAAAATGTTTAAAGTAGATGAGTTTATTATGCTTGACACTTTAGGCCTGTGTATTAACACTATTTGCCAAAGATAAAACTTGTAGTATTTTATATGGTGAAGTTCAGCAACTGTTTTTAGATATAAAAGTAACTTTTGCAACTCTTCTTGTATTGCAGCTGATATGAGGGGGCAGCAAACAGAAACTCTGTTAGCAGGATCACTTGCTAAAGCACTTTGTTGTATCCTTTTGATCACAGAATCTTCAAAGCCTTTATTTTAAGATTGTTTCTTATAACACTAATTAAGTTTTACTATTCCTGTTCTGTAATAATACTAAAACCAGAAACATTTACCTGATAACTATGGGTCATGCTTATTAAAATGCGTGTTGGCTAAGGTGGTGAATACATGGTATGGATACTGGAGTTATTTCCAGGAACAGAATGTAGATTCCTTAATGTCAGCTAATATAGATATCAACAAGATGAGCAAAGAGGTAAAAGGTAATGCCTCTTCTCCTGTTTTGAATACTTACTTAAATATTTGAATATATCTGAGTACAAACAAAGATGCTTATGTTTTGACAGACCCCGTTTCCAGAATTGACAATAATAGGTACAGGTTTATTTGAAGTTGTCCAGTTTAAACTAGGTCTGGGTGAGGATTAGAAGTAAAGGTCTTGATCATTAATCCACATTCTTATTCTGATTTTCTGTTGCATGCATGTGAAACAAGTGATACTGAAACTGGAATGTCTTTAGAACAACTGGAGGTTGAGAGGAACTTTTTGAAAGTCTCGTGCTGCACAAATCCCCTTCCAAAGGGACTACCTGCAGAGCTGGGATGAGAGTTGAAATTCTTCTCAGTTTTGGCATTCCTCTTGTGATTTTTATAATCAGGAAAAGTGCTATTTGTGTAAATGGTTTTGCAATGGGCTATACATTTCAGATTACCTCAATGAGAAATACTATATAACTTGAGATATGTGTTTCAGCCAGTGAATTGGTAATGAACAGCTTTGAACATTTCTTTCCTGATCAACATTTAACTGCTTTTGGACAATAAATGAAATGGGTCTGCTTTCATAACAAGTCTGAACTAGTCCACAGATGCTTGTAACTGGGACTGTAAAAGTTTCATATTCATTTTTTAACTGAGCCGTTAGATCTAACACCTTGGATGTTAGATATCTAACCAAGATCTTAGATGCTACAGAATTAAAAGGGCAAACTACAGGTGATAAATACAATGTGCTCATGCATTTCTCTTTCTTTTTAACACTTAGCCAATCAAGAAATGAAATCAAGGATTTTGGTAAGAACTTCTGCTGTCGGTTTTCTTTTAGTCTTGAAATCCAGTGATACTATGTAGGCTAACAAGTTTGAACTGTTTTATTTAGGTGATAAAAGCAGCAGAAGACAGTGCATTGCAATATATGAATTTCATGAATGTGATCTTTGCAGCACAGAAACAGGTGATGCTGGCATTTTTTTCATATATATTTTTATTAATGTGCAAAGGTATAAAAATTCTTCATTTTTCTTAAGATTATG